TGGTTGAGTGCTGGGTTGTGCTGCTGCGTGCAACCTCTGCAACGCCGGTTCAATCCCCGGCTGCTCCCCGGTCACCAGAGGAGGGTCCCACATGGCACGCAGAACTCTTCTGCTGCCCACTGCTCCCCTCAGCAGTGTACTTTGGTCCTTCTGCCTGCTCTGCTCCCCACTCTGGCTCTGGTGAATTCTCTCACCCTCCCGCGCTTCTGACTGTACCCAGTGCTTGTATAAATAAATAAATAAATAAACAAATAAATAAATAAATAAATCTTTAAAAAAAAAAAAGAAAAAAGAAACATTTACAAGTGTGTTCCCTTGATAAAGGTAATTTGCCTTTGAACGTCTCATGCTCCAGGGAAGGTATTTGTAGGTGTAGGAAACTTTAAGTGGTCATATAGGACTTCTAAATAAATGTGGCATGAAGCCAAGAGCAGAAAGCAGTACCCTCAACACTGATAAGCAGACATTTGTAGTCAACCTATCAGTAAGATCTGGTGCCATTTATGCGTCCTATGGAATATGATTCTCTACTACAGTGGTAAGTTTAATTAGCTCAAAATTTATTTTTCCATTATTTTAGGAAGTAATTTCAATTGATACATATTTACTATGTGATTGAGATTTTACATGTGAATTTTGAATTGTTGATTAGGCTTTGTAAAATTTCATCCACAGATGAATAAAAGTAAAAGTTTCCCTATTGTCCACATATTTTCTGAAGATGTAAAATGAACCAGTGAGTAGTAAGATATTTTTGAATAAGCAGTCAATTAATCTGATGTTTGGGTTCGTATTAGTAGTTTTTTTTTTGTTTTTCCCACTGAACAGTACTGTTTCAAATAATGAATCATGTTATATCAAAATTGTATGGATATAAAAGCACTTTCTTTGTGGAGGACAGGTTGGGAGAAGGAAGAGGGTATTATATTGTAGAAAAAAACATCCCTAGTAGTTCATGACAAGGATCTCTACTTGTCCTCACAAGTATGTGCGAATATACAGGAGAAGATTGCAAGCAATTTCCCTATCAGCATCAGAAATGACATGAATTTAAAATTAATAGGTTGAGAATTCTTCAAATCTTTTCCAAATAAAGGGGTTCAAATAAATAAGAAAAAATGGTAGAAAGAAATATTGCTGCTTTAAAAATAATGATGAAAAGTCTCATTTTGTTTCTCCGAATGATGTCCACCTTGAAAATTACCCATTACCTATTCCTGCAAGAAGACTATTTTTTCACTTTCTGGGAAAAAAAAAAAAAACCAGCTATATGTACATATAAAAATCGTTTTAGTCAACTTTAGTTATACCACTTAGTAGCTTAGAATTAACTTTGTCCTCAATTGTCCTAAATAAGAAATGTTACCAAGCATTTGCCATATTTTCATAATTTATTCAGTTGATATAGGCTGTAAATTAAGGGTTAAATATTTAACTTAACAAATAAATACATTTATAAATGATAATGCCCAAAATTCTTTGCTAAAAACACTTTGTATCTTTGTATGATATTTAAAGAAAACGATCAAGTTGAATTAGTTCTGTATATAGGAAAATAGAATTGAGTAATACATTTAACTGGCTTTGAATTCCATAATTTTTATAAGCATTTTCTAATAAATTATCTGTTATAGCATGTTGAGAAATCTAATTCAGATGAGATTGGAGATTAATTATTACAATTTTCATTTTCAATATTCATGATTCCAAATTATATTGTTATTTGTGTGTGTGCATGTGTGTATCTTTTTTTTTTTTTTTTGTTTTTGTGGGACCCTCGCCGGTGGCTGGAGAATAACCGGCGCTGCAGAGGCTGCGTGCAGCCTCGCAGCCCAGTGCTCAACCGCTGCGCCACCAGGGGAGGCCCTTGTGTATCATTTTTTTAATTTTTTTTTTTTATTTATACAAAAGCTGGGGTACAGGCCAGAGTCGCGGGAGGGTGAGAGGATTCACCACAGACAGAGCGGGGAGCAGAACAGGCAGACGGAACAAAGACACTACTGAGCGGAGCAGAGGGCAAGGCAGAAGAGGTCTGTTGCACCATGTAGATTTCTCCCTGGCTGGCTGGGAATCGAACCGGCGCTGCAAAGGCTGCAAAGGACAGTTTCACAGCGCAGCGCTCAACCCGCTGCACCACAGGGGAGACCTGTGTGTGTATCTTTATCATTGGTTTACCTTAGAATTTCACCTTCCTGTTGTCAGAGCATTTCATCAATTTTTTTTTTTTTACCTTTTTTTAGATTGTAATCATTTAACAGCTATAGCGTCAGGCAATTTACTCATTTTTCATATTTTCTGTTTTTTTAAGATTTTTATTTATTTATTTTTGTATAGAAGAACTGGGGTCTAGGCCAGAGGTGTGGGAGGGTAAGGGAATTTCAACGGAGACAGAGTGGGGAGCAGAACAGGGAGTTTTCCTGAAATACACTGCTAAGGGAAGAAGAGGGTGAAACAGAAGAGGTCTGCTGTGCCATGTAATTTAGCTCTCTGGATGGGGATCAAACTCAGGCCATCAGGGTGGTAGTACTGAGATTAACCCCTAGGCCACAAGAGAGGCACCAATATTTTCCTGAATTAAATACCAAATATATGAAATAAATCATTTTGAATAGTGCTTGAAAGAGTTGTTAAATGCTCAATTAGCTCCAATGCAAAACTTCTTTCTGTATGAAGGAGCAAAGGAGAATGCACATTAGTACTACATGGTAAGTAGGTTCTATTATCTAAATTGACCAGAAGAGGAAAATGAAGCTAAGAAGGATTAAGGAACCTACCAAAGGTTCTTTGCTCATGAAGGACAGTGTCTTGTTGGGTACAGTAAACTTGTTCTCTTTTCAATGAAAGTTAATTTAAAATTTAGTACTAGTTATTATTTATGAAATGAATATAACTTTATGCCATTAGTGGCAAAATAATTAACAGATGTTGATCTTATAGAACATTTAAGAGAAACCAAAATAAGGACTTTAATTCATCTATGTTCTTTTCAAACACAAAATATTCCTGATTTTCCTTACCTATTATTGGAGCTGTGATTTAAAAATAAAAAGAAAACAAACACAACATAGCAGTTCCATTTCAAGGTATAGACCTAAAAGAATTGAAAACAGCTAATTAAACAAAGACTTATACACAAATGATCATGGCAGCACTATTCACAATAACCCAAAAGTAGGAAAAACAGCAAAGAAATGGATAAATACAATGTAGGATCCACACAAGGGGATGTTATTCAGCCATTGAAAGGAATGAAATATTGATATACACTATAATGTGAAATAACCTCAAATACATTTTGCTAAATGAAATAAGTCTAACACAAAAGGCCACACACTATATGATTTCATTTATGAATATGAAATATTTAGAATAGGAAAATCCATAGAGTAAGACATGAGAGTAGTGATTGCTGTCAGGAGGAAGAGGGAATGGGGGGCTGTTTAGTGAATATGGGTTCTCTTGAGGGGTGGTGAAAATGTTTCACAACCAGGTATTGGAGAAGTTAAGAATGCACTAAGTACTAATGAATCATATAATTTAAATGGTAAATTTTATGCTTAATGAATTTTTCTTCCGTTAAATAAAAATAACCCTATAAAATTACAAAATTGCAGTTGATCATAAAGTCCTAGATGGATAGCATTAATATGTTTTTTCTTTGCTTGTCACAATTTCAATGTGAGTTTTTGAACATTATTAAACAGTATATAGAAATTACCAATTAAAGTTTCAAAACAAGGCATTGATATAGCTAATTTTGTCCAGTTGGCAGAACATTTAGTTGAGTTTCCAGTATACAAGAAGCTTTAGTTTTTAATTTGTATGAAGTGCAAAGAAAAAGGATATTGAAAAATGCATGAAAGAAAATAAAGTGGCCAGAGCCGAGGGAATTATCTTACACACATGCACATGGGGCCATCTAGCCATTCACACCACAGAGAGTTGTGAACACACAGTAGAAAAACCTGATTTTCCTTGTAACTTATTTTGTATTTCTCCAAAAATTGAAAAGTAAATAGTAGCTTAGAGACATCAACCCCCTGCTTAGCAAAGAGGTCAAGCACAGGAGGGTGTCTAGCTGCCAATACCAGTCACTTCTGGGTGAAACAACAGAGAAGGTTAAGTTACTTCAGGAAACTCTCAACAGGGTTCCCACTGTTTCAGGCTCAAAGCTCACATATGCAATGGGCCCGGTTCATAGGGACACCTTGGGGCCTGAAGAATGGCCCCATAATGGTAACTTTTTGTTGGGACATTGAAATTTCATAAACATGAACTTACATGAACAGTGTTCATTATTTTATTTTATTTTTTAAGATTTATTTATTTACTTATACAAGCACTGGGTACAGTCAGAAGCACGGGAGAGTGAGAGAATTCACCAGAGCCAGAGCGGGGAACAGAACAGGTAGACTGACTAAGTACACTGCTGAGGGGAGCAGTGGGCATAGCAGGAGAGGTCTGTTGTGCCATGTGGGACACTCGCTGGTGGCCGGGGATCAAACTGGCGCTGGAGAAGCTGTGGGCAACTTCACAACCCAGCGCTCAACTGCTACGCCACCGGGGAGGCCCTGTTCATTTTTTTTTTAAATAGCACAGAAACAATAAATGAAATTAAATGAACATTGAACTGAGAGTCAGGATATCTGAGTCTTATCACCAGTTCTGACTCTTAGGTGACTTTAATCAAATCTGCATACCTTTTCTGTCTATTTTCTTGTTTGTAAAATGCAAATATTTCTATGATCACTTAGAACTTTCGAATTCTGTGAATACATGAGGTCTATTGATGGTGTTATACTACTCATTCCAACAAGTAGAGAGAAATTAAGAACAGAAAATAATCATTAGTCTGTATCTTTTCACTTAGTACCAGTATTTGAGAACACAGAGCTTTAATAAAAAGAATCAGAGAAATTGTTTCCTCTTCTCACTCTTAAACAGACATATCACAGTAAGGGCCGGTGAGCATCTCCAGCCTCAAACCCAGGATACTCAAGCACCACCACCTCCAGCACGATGATGAAGGGCATGAGCAGAACCACCTGTGAGTTTTCCATCACCTCTTCTTAGATTATTAATGCACTTCACAGAAGAAAAATGCCATTTACAACAAAAATGTTATCAAAATCCAAACTTCCGTACACCATGTGTGGTTTTTTGTTTGTTTGTTTTCTGCTTTTTCGACCTCAAAACATGCTAAAGCAAGAACTTTGTCTTCAGAGCCAAGATTTTAGAGGGCCTCCCCTGGTGGCACAGGCGATTGAGTGTAGCGCTATCCACAGCCTCTGCAGCACAGGTTCGATCCAGCTGGCGAATCCCACATGGCGCAACAGACCTCTCCTGTCTCGCCCACTGCTCCCCTCAGCAGTGTATTTCATCAGTCTACCTGTTCTGTTCCCTGCTCTGTCTCTGGTGAATCAGCTCACCCTCCCGCACATCTGTCCTGTACCCCAGTGTAGGAGCAGGATGGGCACAGAGCTAGTTCTTTATGATTCGAGCAGGTCAGAAGGGCAAAGGAGTCCTACAGCCCTCAGTGGCTTTCTCAGGTTTTTATTGAGCTTTTAGATGTAGTGCAGCAACCAGGTATAGGACAGGGAGGGGTGCTGGGGGGCCGGGTGGGTAGGAGGCAGGTAGGCCTCCAAGCCCCAGCAAGTCTTCACTCTGGGTTCTCTGACATTCTCTCTCCCCTTCTCTCTCCTGTTCCTTCTCCTGCCTCTGTTTCTCTTGGCTAATATATTAATATTGCAGTCATGGCCCACAAAAGTAAACAACACAATTGAAAATAGCAATGTAAGAAAATGCAGTTGCTCCATCAGGCAGTACAATCCTAATGGTGAGAGGGCAGAAAAGCCTGAAAAACATTTATCCTACACCTGATTCTTGTATGCATGAATACATAAATATTTAAAAAAAAAAAAAAGATTTTTAGAGACCTTTTCAAGTTGGCTGAGTATAGCACCTGCGTTTGCTGACAAGAAGCCCTGTCACCTGCATTCAGCTTCTCTCCAAGTTTCCTGGAAGCTTTTAGTACAGCCACTTCCTTTTGAGCATACAGGACTCTTTCCAGTTTTCCTATCATAAGCTCTCTGTCCATCTCTGGTAGACTTGTCCAAAGCTGACCTGGTTGTTTGTTTATAAATAAGTTGATGTCCTCTGGGGTTTTAAAAGTCTGGCTGATAGCTGTTTGGATAGCCAGTTGTATTCAACCTAATCCATCCACCAAAGTAATATTTCTGGACATGATTTTCTTTAGTGAATCATTAAATTTACTTAGTTGCTCCAGAGTTAGGAAACTATGTTTGGTCTCTTCATATTCATCTGCACCAAGTTTCCTCTCTGCATTCCTTCAGATATTGTAGTTGCTGTGTTAGACTCTCTAATTGTTCTTCTAAATTCTTCTCTTATTTGCATGTTTCTGTCTTTCCTCTGGAAGTCATTTTATTTTTTTTTTATTTTTTTTTTGGTGGGACCCTCGCCGGCAGCCGGGGAACAAACCAGCGCTGCAAAGGCTGCGGGCAGCCTCCCAGCCCAGCGTTCAACCACTGCGCGACCAGGGGAGGCCCTCATTTTAATTTTTGTCTCAATTCTCTGAACTTCCAGTTCTTGAGCATCCAAATATCATAAAATTGAGTAAGGAAAAATTGTTCATTAAGACAAGAGGCTCAAAATTCACCACTCTATGGTGGCTTTGACCGAAATGCTGGCCAGTGAACAGGCTTCATCAAATCTTTAGATTGATATTGTGTGCTATGATTTCTTAACTGCTGTTTACATGAAAATGGAACAAATAATCTAGACTGACAAATTAAATTTAAAATTTTGTTTCAGATTACCTTAAACAGTAATATAAAGAATGGTGCTGCATTTACAAACAGAGAGCAGTGCAAATGAACAAGATCTTTATCAATGCTTTGATTGCTAGATAGGTAAAATAAACTGTTCATGTGTGGTATGCAATCCTTAAATTATCTAAAAGATGTTTGTATTACTGTGTGTTTTGTCAGCACAAATGTGAATTCTCACGTGGTGGTGGTAGCAATTTAATGAGCCATTGGTACCACCTTTCTGGAGGTTGGTTAAAGAGATTTCATGTATGTGACATGGCTTGGCAAGAGAAAAGCTCTGCTGTCTAATTTTTTATAGCATTTGGATATTTGTAGAATTAGAACAGGCGGATCTACTGAAATACATTAACGGGGGCAATGGGCAAGACAGGAGAGATCTGCTGCACTGTATGTGGGTTAGCTTTGTGGCCAGAGATCAAACTCAGGCCACAGCAGTGATAGTGCTGAAGCCATACACCACCAGGGAGGCCCAGAATCAGAGCTTTTGGATTAAAATTTGTCACCTCCATCTCTGTCTCCAGAGAAATCAGTGACCAAATTTTAGACAACAGGCTCAGAGATCATGCTGTTTCTAAAAATTTAAATGACATTGTTCTAGACTGTTTATATAAAAAATAAGGAGCTTTGCAAACCTTTACATGTACAAAAGTGGTACATTTGTGCATTATTCTTCTAATAAAAGAGGGAATTGGCTCCTTATGACTATGTGGTTTTCTGATTCTTATGAATTTACAAGATTTATTCTTAAAGAATGGCAAACTGAAAAATTTTACTGATGTTCAGTATGGAAGAAGTAACATCTTGCATACTCTTTGTGATGAAGCTGTGTTAACTTCTGTGGGCTTAGTCATCCCGTTGTATCTCCAAAGAAAATGGTCCATTTTGCTAAATGTTAAAAAATTCCTCCAAAAGGCATATGAACATCTAATTCAGGTATTTTTAGAATAAATTAAGCTTTTCCTTTCTTTCCAAATATATTTGTACATCATCTGCATCTGATAATTATTCTCCATGGTAATGAAATCATTTTAAAATAGTTTCATTGTCCTTTTAATCACCTAATACCTTATTGTTAGTATTGTTACTACTATTCTTTCCAAGCATTATCAAAAATCCTCTCATGCTTTCCTTTTCTGTTTGTCTCATCATTCAAAGTCTCTGTGGTGAAATGTGTGTAGTGTATGTCTCCAAATCCTACTAAGCTGAGAAAAGGCCATTTTATGTGTTTCAAGTATCGAGGGGCAGGTGTGATGAATTAGAACATCAGAATTTTAAAAGTCAGGTGAGTAAAAACAGTTATTTAATGAGAGGAAGGAAGTGTTTTCATGAATTTAGGGGGGTAGCTTTATATCCTTCAATGGATATCTTTATTTTAGTTATACTGACCTGTTCTGTGATCCTTGTAACTCACTATGAAACAACTATATATTCTTTAAAAAAAAAAAAAAAAAAAACTTTCCATATTTCTTTTTTTTTTAAAGATTTATTTATTTATTTATACAAGCACTGGGTACAGTCAGAAGCGTGGGAGGGTGAGAGAATTAACCGAGCCAGAGAGGGGAGCAGAACAGGCAGAAGGGCCGAAGTACACTGCTGAGGGGAGCAGCGGGCAGCTTTGCAACCCAGCGCTCAACCGCTGCGCCACCAGGGAGGCCCATATATTCTTATTTACTTTAAAAGAAGACCAAATCGAATGTGTTGATTGCCAAATTTTGAATAATATTGTCTGTAATTCAAACAAATTTAAAAGACAGACTTCTAAATGATTATTTATTTTCTCAGTTGGTTAATGTTGGTTTTGGTTCACATAAAGAAAATACCATGATATAAAATAACAAAATTATTATTATTAATTATATAGTCTTTGCCAGTCTTTTATGTTTTTGATCCATTTTGATCTGTTATCTCAAAAAATCAATATACTCTGTGAAGTATATAGCCTAGTTTCAGTTAAAACATTAATATGTTGAGCTATAGAGAAGTAGGAGGCTAGATCAAGAAAAGACATCTTAACTGGAAAGCAGAACTTTGAATCAAGACCATGGATTCTATATGTGGTACTAGACCAGAAGTTATGATGTCAAACAAAGGTTTTTAGAAGATGACACATTCCTTCTCAATCCATTTTCAGTGTCACGCCAAAAGAAATCATGGAGAGGAGAAACACAACGTCAGACTTCATTCTGCTAGGACTTTTTAAGTACACAAGAACCCACCTCTTTCTCTTCCTGATGGTGTTGATAATGACCATCACTTCCTTGACTGGCAACACCCTCATGCTTCTCCTGATTCACAGGGATGCCCGGCTCCACACACCGATGTACTTCCTATTGAGTCAACTTTCCTTTATGGACCTGATGCTGGTTTCCACCATTGTGCCCAAAATGACTGCTGACTACATAACTGGCAAGAAATCCATCTCCCCCGCAGGCTGTGGACTACAAATCTTTGTCTCTCTCACACTAGGTGGTGGAGAGAGTTTCCTTTTAGCAGCCATGTCCTATGACCGCTATGTGGCTGTTTGTCACCCGCTGAGATACCCTATCCTTATGAACTGGCGATTGTGTTTGCAAATGACATTGGGGTCTTGGCTTGTGGGGGCAGCTGATGGACTCATGCAGGCTGCTGCTACCCTGAGCTTCCCATATTGCAGCACCCGTGAGATTGATCATTTCTTCTGTGAGGCCCCTGCTCTGGTACGTTTGGCTTGTGCTGACACTTCTGTCTTTGAAAAGGCCATGTACATCTGCTGTGTGTTAATGCTCCTGGTCCCGTTTTCCCTCATCCTGGCCTCCTATGGTCTCATTCTCTCTGCTGTTCTCCAGATGCGTTCCATAGAAGCTCGTAAAAAGGCTTTTGCCACCTGTTCCTCACATTTGGCTGTGGTGGGACTCTTTTATGGAGCTGCTATATTTATCTACATGAGACCCAAATCTTACCAGTCAGCAAACTACGACAAGGTTGTGTCTGCTTTCTATACCATATTCACCCCTGTGCTGAACCCTCTCATCTACAGTCTGAGGAACAGTGAGGTCAAAGGAGCCGTAGAAAGGTGGCTGAAGAAATATACAAACTTAAAACACTAGTGAACGTAGCCCCACTCTTCAAAGTTACTCAGTCACCACATTTTCAACAGATTGTAGTCATTTCTCTTTTAGTAATGCATGAAGAGAAAGATAACTTTGTTGATGGCTATATTCAAAGTTATTAAGAATTGAGTGAGTTTACCATACTGAGAGATGTTATTTCATGGACATTTACTATGAGATATCCTCCATACTAAGCAAGTTGGATTGATTTTTTTTTTAATTTATATTATTTAAGAAACATATAATACAAGCAATTTTGATTTCATTTATTAAGTGAGGAAATAGAGTCATTGAAAGTTAAATACTATTCCCAATATCATATATTGAATAAATATTAAAATGTGACTCCCTTAACCTGCTATATTTTATTTATGTCCAGTAATTCACTTTGAGCACTGTTTCTACATCTGTGATCTATGAATTTATAGTGATTAACTATAGGGATTTCACCAAAGACAAATGAGAACATTACTCTTTAGCTCTCATTTATAGTTTCATGGCTAAAGAGAAAGCACACAACTTAAAGGTAAGTGTTATATTGTGAACATTTGCTTTTGTATTTTCTTCCATGGTCTCTTTCATTTGGTGTTTGAAGACAAAACTTTTAAAATTATGCAAATTTTTAAGTAATGCATAACTTTCTTCAAGTCCTGCATGTAAATGCAATGACTAGTCATTTGAAAGTACACTACAATTAAATTCTGTCTTGGAAATGACCATGTCCATAAAGTTTAAAGGTTATGATGATTTATAATGGATATGGGGCCCATAGATGTTAGTTAAAATGTTTCAGCGCACTTGATAGACTAGCTGATGATATTGAGTTATCAAAAATGAGTAAGTGGGCCTCCCCTGGTGGCCCAGAGGTTGAAACCTGGGCTGTGAAGCTGCCCACAGCTCTGCAGCGCTGGTCCAATCCCCGGCCCCCAGCAAGGGTCACAGATGGCTTGACAGACCTGTCCTGCCGTGCCTTCTGCTCCCCTCAGCAGTGTATTTTGTCAGTCTGCCTGCTCTGTTCCTCACTCTGGCTCTGGTGAATTCTCTCACCCTCCCTCACTTCTGACTGTACCCAGTGTTTGTATAAATAAATAAAGAAATCTTTAAAAAAAAAAAAGAGTAAGATACATGGGCCTCCCCCGTGGTGCAGCGGGTTGAGCACGGTGCTATGAAGCTGTTCACAGCCTCTGCAGCATGAGTTCAATACCCGTCAGCTGGCGAGAATCCCACATGTTGTAGCAGACCTCTCCTGTCACTCCCGCTGCTCCCCTCAGCAGTGTATTTCTGTTGTCTGCCTGTTCTGCAAACTGCTCTGTCTCTGGTGTATCCTCTCACCCGCCTGAGCCTCTGGCCTGTACCCCAGCTCTTGATAAAAATAAATAAATCTTTAAAAAAAAAGACTCAAGTGCACACTCAAATAACCTTAAAATATCACTAAGAAATTAAAATTATTAAAAAAAATTGAGTAAGATACAACCACTTGTACCTAATAAGTTATGTAGGTCACCCTACTTCCAAAATGTACAGACCCTACTTCCAAAATGTACAGATATTTATCATGCAAAATATACTCCTCAAGGTTGGAAACTTTTTAAAGAGAAAAAACAGGTCTATTTCTTCAGTTACATGAAGACACTAACCAGGCATATTTAGAAGAAAAGGAAAATGTGGTCATCAAAGTCAAATTATAATCAGACTGAATAACATGCTGGCTTATATAATTTTATAATGAAGTCTATATTTACTGTAGTCGTAACAAATTTAGAAGTAAATTAAACTTTAAACATATAGAGCAAAGTAACCCCAGAAAGAACTTCCAGGGATAATGATCCTCTAGTACATGTTCCTGAGAGGGAAAATGCCAGTATAAGCCCACTCCAATTGCAAAAGGCATATTTTAGTGTAAGTAGGATATTTCCCACCACAAATAGAACTGCAGGTACCAATGTCCCATTTACAGTTATGATAGTACCTTAACCAGTGAACATAAATCCTGGAGAGATGTCTAGAGTGATTAAGGACTCTAGAAATTGTGTCCCAGGATGTGGTCTATCCTGGAGAATGATCTGTGTGCTTGAGAAAAATGTGTACTCAGATTTTTTTGGGGGGGTTCAGTGTTCTATGGATGTCTATTAAGCCCATGAGGTCTAGATCCTTATTTAGAGCTTTATTGTCCTCACTTATTTTTTGTTTCATTGATCTATCCTTTGTTGATAGCGGTGTGTTGAAGTTTCCTACTGCATATGTGTTTTTTCTGATGTCTGTTGTCAGAGTTGATAATAGTTGTCTGATATATTTTGGTGCTCCTTCATTTGGTAAGTGTATGTTAATGAATGCTATTTCTTCTTGAAGTATTGTCCCCTTGATCATAATGTAGTGACCATCTGGGTCTCTTTATACATTTTTAAGTTTGAAATCTGTTTTATCTGATATAATTATAGCTGTCCCTGCCCTTCGTTTTTGGTCCATTTGCTTGTAGGATTGTTTTCCATTCTTTTACTTTCAGTCTATTTTTATCTTTTTTAGTTAAGTGAGTTTCCTGGAGACAGAAAAAAGTTGGGTTTTGTTTCTTAATCCAGTCTGCTACTTTGCGTCTTGCTTTTTATTTTTTATTTTATTTATTTATTTATACAAGCACTGGGTATAGTCAGAAGCGTGGGAGGGTGAGAGAATTCACCAGAGCCAGAGCAGGGAGCAGAGCAGGCAGAAGAGGTTTGAGTGCCATGTGGGACCCTCCTCCAGTGGCCAGGGAGCAGCCGGGGATGGAACCAGCGCCGCAGAGGCCGCGGGCAGCTTCACAACCCAGCGCTCAACCGCTGCGCCACCAGGGGAGGCCCTACTCTGTGTCTTTTTATTGAAGAGTTTAGTCCTTTTACATTTAGAGTTAATACTGATATGTTAGCATATGTACTTACCATTTTGTTTGTCTTTTCTCTGGTTTTATTTATTTATTTATTTATTTATTTGTTTATTTATGTATGTATTATCTTGTTTCGTTGTTATTCATCCCTCTGTTGGTTCTGGCTTTAGGACTCCTTGTAGTATTTTTTTTAAAGATTTATTTATTTATTTATACAAGCACTAGTTATAGTCAGAAGCACGGGAGGGTGAGAGAATTCACCAGAGCCAGCGTGGGGAACAGAACAGGCAGACGGACTAAATTCACTGCTGAGGGGAGCAGTGGGCGAGGCAGGAGAGGTCTGCCGTGCCATGTGGGACCCTCGCCGGTGGCCGGGGATGGAACCCGTGCGGCAGAGGCTGTGGGCAGCTTCTCAGCCCAGCGCTCAACTGTTGCACCACTGCAAGGAGACCCAATCTTAACTTTAGAAACCTCACTTCATTTATTAATTGTTTATTAGTTACTATAGATGTTTTGCCTAATCAAATTGCCCACAGTGTAAATTTACACTATTTGCAATTTTGACTTGCTTACAGTGCATAATTCCTGTTTCTCTGTAAATGACGATATGTCATCTTTATGGTTGAATAGTATAGCATTGCTTGGATAACTCATATATTCTTGATCCAGTCCTCTGTCAATGAGCATATGTGTGTGTGTGTGTATGTGTATATATATATATATATTTATACACACATTTGCATATACACACACATACACACACACATATATGTGTAGGGCAATCCACGGCCCTCCTTATTCTCAGGGCTATTGTCTTGATGCCCAAAATTCTTGCTGATCAGCTAGATGTACTGTCAGTCAGAAGGCCTCTCACCAAGGACAAAAGTCCTAGTATGAGGAACATACTGGGAAACCAGTATCTGCTGAAAGTAGCAGACAAATATCATGGCCAGATTAGCAAGATGAGCCAAAATACCTTACTTGTAAAGAATAGCATAAAGTTAGGTAAGAAAAGGATATAGAGTTAACATGATTTGATTAGCCGGAACTATGGAGCATACCCCCAAGTAATAGCCCCTGGTTACTCCATCCTAGCTTGCAACAGACAATAATGCATCCCTAATAATGTGTCCCCAAGCATACACATTCCTCACATGCTTGGCCAATTTCTCTGTACTTGACTCTAAATAAATACAAGACAGCCCTTGGATTGGGGCTGCACCTTCTTGTTATAGTCTCTCTTGGCTGCAAATTGTTTTGGAATTTGAGTAATCTCCCTGTCCCGTGCTTCCAGCGAGACTGCCGTTCTGCAAGGCCATATACATGCATACACACATATGTATACATTATGGGTGTGTATATATATATATATGTATGTATGTATGCATATATACACATATATATACATATTGGCACTCATGGCTACTCAAAGTAGGATTGCTGGGTCATAGCTAATTCTATTTATAGTATTTTAAAATGTAAATCCATATCATTTTCCAAAATGACTGCACCCATTCACATGCAACCAACACTGTAATAATGTTCTTCTTTCTCCAAATTTTTTTTAAGATTTATTTATTTATGCATACAAGAGCTAAGGGACAGGCCAGGCATGCAGGGGGTGAGAGGATTCAGCAGAGACAGAGTGGGGAACAGAACAGGCAGACTGTCTGAAATACACTGCTGAGGGGAGCAGGGGGTAAGACAGGAGGGGTCTGTTGTGCCATGTGGGATGCTCCCTGGCCAGCCAGGGATCAAACTTGTACTGCAGAGGCTTTGGATTGCTTCATAGTGTGGTGCTTAATGCCTTGTGCCACCAGGGAGGCCCCTTTTGTTTTTCTTTTTAAAGATTTATTTATTTATGCGTACAAGAGCTGGGATACTGGCCAGAGGTTTTTGAGGTGAGCGAATTCACTAGGGACAGACGGAGGAGCAGAACAGGCAGACTGACTGAAATACACTGATGAGAGGATCAGCAGGTGAGACAGGAGATGTCTGCTGCGCCATGTGGGTCACCTCACTGGCCAGGGATCAAACTCATGCTGCAGTGGCTGCAGATAGCTTCATAGTGCTGTGACTTACCCTCTTGCTCCAACAGGAAGGCCCCCTTTCTCCAATTTTTTCTCCAAATTTTTTCCTT